TTCTTTTGGCCGTGTTTCCATAGCGACTTAATTCGGTACTCCTACGAAGTACAATTAACGCTATAATTGTACTCCTCTCGACCAATCAGAGTCGATTAATTTTGTTGAGTTTACTATAAACTAGAAAATATAATCATATCATCTAGTGCTACAACCTTTGCATTGGCTGAAGATTAAGTATAGAATCATTTTTAAAATTTTACTCCTTGTTTATAAAGGCCTTAATGGTTTAGCACCATCTTCTATAACAGATATACTTAGCTATAAGACCCATACTCGGGCTCGGAGGTCAGCTTCTGAGAATTATCTAGAAGTTAGACGAACAAACACCAAATCAAATGGTGATCGGGCCATCTCTATTGCTGGCACCGAGTTCTGGAACGAGGTTCCTTTAGCACTTTAGGGAGTCTATTAATGTTGAGGGTTTTAAAAGACCCATTTATTTAGAATAGCTTATAATTTATAGTTTTGTCTCTAGGTCAATTTTTCTTTTTCTTATCAGTGGCAATATAATGTAAATACAGGATTTTACTTGTTATATTTTTATTTCTGATTTTTGCTTTGTCGAGAAAATATCGAGTTTGTAAATAAGTAGTTTATATTAGTTATTATTAGTATTGATGGTTTTCACGGCGGCCATGTTGGAGGAACTTAACAAAAGAATTGTCAATGAATTCTTTTGTTATATCCTCCAACATGGCCACCGTGTCTTTTTTAATTTTGAAATTAAAATTAAAATTCTCTTGGGAATGGTTGAAAACCATCAATTGTAAAGCGCTTAGGACAAATAGTGAAATTAGCGCTATAGAAATGAATAAAGTTTTAAAGGAAAGCATTGAATTCCCGAGAGCAAAGGAATTTATTGGTCTGTCTTCTAACCACAGGCAGCCCAAGCTGTATTATGTGATGGGCACGTGATGGTGGAAAACCCCTATTGAAATCTCTTCCGAATTCTTTGAATTGGAAAGGTGAATAAGGCAAGCGTGCACTCAAATTACGTCAGTCAACTGTATTTAATTTCCTTTGTCTCTCATCACATTGATTTTGATGACATTTGACCAATATATAAGAGTGGTTACACTGCAAAATATAAGAAATTTCCTATTTTAGGAAATTAAATCTCTTGTCATGCCAAAAAAGTGCACTGTTCCTGTCCTCCAACATGGGCGATGTACGTCTTGAAACCCATCTATTGAATAAGTGCTAACTTTATGTTAAACGAGTCATGTCATTATTAAGTGATTATTCTTTACTTTTTTTGAAACTTTTGGTTAAAGCTTGCAATTCTCCTGTTGGACTTGAGACATCTGGAGTCATTCAAAACAGTCAAATGACATCTTCATCTCACCTTTACAACACCCATACTGCATCACATGGTCGTCTCTATGGCAGCAACTCATGGTGTAGTAGCACGTCGTCTAACACTCAGTACATACAGATTAACCTGGGACGATTAATGACAGTGACAGGTATAGCAACACAGGGTGACCAAACCATGGATAAGTGGGTTACGAACTACACTATCAGTTACAGTATGGATGGTAATCTGTGGAACACCTACAAAGCTGGAAGCAACCGCAATGAGGTAGAAACTGATGTGAAATATTACTTGCATCAGTCATTATATATAGTCGTCAAATTTAATTGCTACATAGCTGAATGCATACTGAATGCTGTTACTTCATTGTCACAACTGTTTTTATTGGCTATGCATGAATTATTGGTATATATTTCAACAGATATTTCAAGGCAATAGTGACAAGGAGAATGTAAGAGTACAATGGCTGAGTAATCCAATGACAGCCAGGCATGTTCGAGTTACACCACAGACATGGAATACTGCTATATGTATGAGAATAGAACTGTACGGATGTGACTATGGTAAGTACAGACATAGAATACTGCTGTATGTATGAGAATAGAACTGTATGGATGTGACTATGGTAAGTACAGACATGGAATACTGCTATATGTATGAGAATAGAACTGTATGGATGTGACTNGAGAATAGAACTGTATGGATGTGACTATGGTAAGTACAGACATGGAATACTGCTATATGTATGAGAATAGAACTGTATGGATGTGACTATGGTAAATACAGACATTGAATCCTGCTTTATGTATGAGAGTAGAACGTACGTTTGTAATCATAGTAACTTCAGACAAGTGTTGTTGCTACTTGTATGGAAGTGTCCATCGTCCATTATGTAAAACGACGTATGTGTTTCGACAGTGTTTTTTTAGATATCCCAAATATGGACATCTTAACCAGAAGTCCGTGCCTGCACAATGGCGGGCCCCTCCAGGGGTGAGATTTTGCACATTGAGAGATAGATATCTACTATGCTGTATTGCAAAGGAAAGAAGTAACAAAATTGACGGAAGCATGCCAATTGTAATCAAACGGCATTGGAAGGGCTTAACAGTTTATTTGTCATTAGATATTCATGATATGCCAGATATATACATATAAATAATATTTATGATATGACGAAGAAGTCAGATTTGAAGCGGTGGGGCTCCCTCTATTATACGTGTCACAAATCATGCTTCTCAGTAAAGAACGTAAAGAACGTAAAGAACGTAATATTTGAGTATTCGTTTCAGATCTCAGCGCAATTTTGATTGTCAAATCACAACGATATCTATGACACAATTGTAAACTTCTTTTCGTTTTATTTTTTTGATTTAATTCAGCTATTTCAAAAAAAGTTGAATACTGTATACTGCATACTGAATAGTGCATTCCAAGACCAAAGTGCATTGTGGGTCATAGTGACCTTGTCTAAAGTAGGATTAATAATAATCATTTATTCTATTTTTAGAGTATTCCATCTGAAACATATGCTAACTACATGTAGAGAGTTAATTGCTGTACATTTACTTTTTTTTCGAATTAGCCTTTGGTCTTGGAATGCACCTTCAGTTTGCAGTATTCAGTATTCAACCTTTTTTGTAATAGCTGTATATTCTTTGTATTGATTTTGCCTGTAAGACTTATGCCAACAAATCAACACATCGCCTCCCTTCGTATAATATGATTGCTGTAAGGCACTGTCTAAAAGTAGGTTAAAAATGGTAGCTCATTCCCGAAACGCATCAGCCGCTATCCTAATACCAAATGGGATCTTCTAGCTTTGGACTTCTGATGTGACATATATGACAAGACGAGATGAGCCGAGACAAAACTAAAAACGTCATCAGAGAAAATAATTTGTAGAATATCGGTAAATCATACATCCCTTCCCTAACCTAAAGTCCCGTCCCTGTTGACTTATGAATTATCATAATTATTTACCTTACATGTACTGGGAATGCATGTTTTCCATTACAGATTACCCATTGACCCTAGCAGCACCAACAGTCCATGATATTAATTCGACATCAGTAACAGTAAGATGGATCCAACCTGCGCTGAACGCATCCCAGGCTAGTGTGACAACATACGTGTTACAATACCAGAACATTACACATACACAGACGATAAGTGTGTCAGCTCCTGCAACAAGTCACGTGATAACTGGTCTCGCTATCTATACTAACTACAATGTTAAAATAATAGCGATCAGTAGAATTGGTTCTGGACAATGGAGTGCGACCACAGACTTCAGAACAAATTCAGCTTGTAAGTCAAAACATGCTTATAATTTATTTCCATGCAGTATTTCGATATCACAATATTCATGATGACCTTGAACTTTATGATGCTTATCATTATATTTGTTTCTTTTAGTACCTGTTGGATTCCCATATTCTGTTGCAGCTGTGTCCAAAACATCTCAAAGTATCCATGTTACTTGGCAGGTAAACTAAGGTTCTATCTGTGTAAAATTAATATTAAATCCTTCTCCTGCCATAACATCTCAAAGTATCCATGTTACTTGGCTGGTAAGTTAAGGTTCTTATCTGTGTAAAACATTGAATCCATCTCCTGCCATAAGTAACATCCCAAAGTATTTATGCAGGCAGATAAGGTTCTATCCTATGTACAATCTTGATTCCATCACCTGCCATAACATCCCACAGTATACGTGTTAATTTGGCAGTAAAGTTAATAAAAACATTCATATCACGACATATGGGGAAAACAACGCATACGGTAAATGTAAAATTAAATTTATAGTAATATATAGTAATGGTTAGCTAGAATGAAATGGCGGGAAACTGGTTTGGTGGGATCGTTATTGCCATTTCAATCTAGCTAACCATTCTCTTTCTGACTTCATTGTTTTCGGTCTTTCTTTGATTAACGACAACAATGATTGTCGCAAGACGAAAGAAATGCGGCTTACTCACCTATTGGGCACTCATAGTCCCAATGGGATTAATGAACGCTTTGCTTTAAACTAACCCTTTCTTTTGTCTTTTGATTGTTTGTTTTCCTTGCCTACCTTGCTCTCATTGGTTACTTTTGTCTTATTCTATCATATAAACACTCCTTTCTACCACCTCTTTCTCTTTTACTCCGACGAAGGACTAGCGTCCGAAACGTCAGAAACTTGTATTGGTTCCTTTCTAATAATGCACATTGCGCATGCATACAGTCACTCGTGTTTATTTGAATTATTATTGTAATACTTTAGCCCTGAAATTGCTAGTAGTGCGAAAATTAGGCGATGTTTAATAATTGCAAAGAAATAGAAGATATAAAAAACTTAAGAATAATTACGATTAGCATATACCAACTTGTGTACTTCCTAAGAACGCGCGCGCTCATTGGTTAATTGGAGGTGAATATTGTACGATATTCACCTCTGAATCTCGTAATATTGAGTCGGTTACAAAATGGCATCTGCCGGCAATCGTTTTGCTACAACTTCCGATGAGGGAATTGAAAAAATGAAAGTAAATGCCATTGCTATCAATACTAAAAAGGCAACGAAGTATGGCCTAAACGTTTTGCTAAAGGTTTTGCGTGAATTTGATACGCAAACTAAAAGTTTTTGTTTGTTTGTTTTTATTGAATTATTGTATATATAAAAAAGTTACTCTGTACACAAGTAGTTGGTATAGGCTAAAGGCGAATAGTTACTAATTATTTCACGTACAATAACATTCTAGACACTGTTCTTACGATGCATAATGAAGAAAGTAAGCACAAAATCCCAACTTGATCTTTTTCATACTGGGAAGGAATTGATTTGGCGAGTCATTGATTTAAATTAATAGAGTATACAAGATATGGCTAGGTTTAACTGAAGAAAAATATTAGAATAGAAACWCGAAAAGTCATATATAGTATACAGTATAGGTCTATAGGCGTTTATATTTTTTATATTTTTAAGGCTCCTACTTYTGGAATCAATGGTCCTTTCCTTGGATACAGGGTATTGTGCAGATCAGGAAATGAGAGACATGAAAATACTTCTCAACAAACAAGTCACACGTTCAGAGGTCTGAGACAGGGGACAGTGTACAACGTCACAGTGGTCATACGTAACGATAAGGGAGATGGTCCTATCAATGGTTATGTGCGTATTCAAACATTACAAGATGGTGAGTTGCTTGAGATAAGGCTACATATGAATCTGCAGTGCTACTGCGCACCAAGTTGCGTTACACTATCACATGATTGTAATTCTATATCTTAGTCTTCCATATATAGTAAGATCTGTAAAAGTATAGCATTGATCCGGAATAAAGCACGCTTAATAACGACTTAACACATGGCGTCAGATGTAAAACCAAGTTAGCCCAATGGATCACATCAAAGGACCGGGAGAATTACTATTCTCCTCTGAATCAAACCTCGACGAAGCCTGGCGAAAATGGAAACGAGGAATGTTGTATTTCCTAACTGTTACGTGCAAGAGAAAGTCTGAAGAAGAAAAGGTTGCTATTTTCATGTGCATGATTGGTAAAGAAGGGCAAGATACCAAAGACACACTCAGTTTTGAACAAAACGACGATGGCGAGGAAATCATAACAACAGACGTTCTGTTCCAGAAATTTAACGAATATTGCAAGCCACGGAAAACCCTCATAGTGGACAGACACCGCTTTCTCACACGAGATCAACTACCTAACGAAACTATAGACCAATATGTCACTAATCTATGAACCCTGGCAGCTTCGTGTGAATGGAGTAAAAAAAATGGATCTAAAAGATGATCTCATATACAGTCGCATAGTGAGCGGCATCGCATCAAAGGCCGTGCGCGAGAGACTTCTACGCGAGTCCGATTTATCACTGGACAAGGCAATTGATATATGCAGAGCAGACTAAATCTCGAAGCAACAGATGAAGTTATTTGAAGACGAGCAGTCAATCCATGCTGTACAGAGAGGAAAGCCTACACAAGACAACACGAAACAACGACCGGAGACTCCACAGCCTGGCAAAGCTAAAATTACGCATAGATCACATTCCATGAACAACGCATGCCGATATTGCGGAGGTAAACACGTAAAGGGACAGTGTCCAGCTTATGGTCAGCAATGCAATGATTGCAAGAAACTCAATTATTTTGATAACGTGTGCCTCTCTAGTAAACAAGTAAACTCGCTCCAGCAAGAAACAGACCCGGAAGAGGAGACAAGAGATTATTTTCATTTCGACACAGAGAAAATTGAAACTGTCAACAAAGGACAAACAACAGGCACTGAATTTGTCACGCTCTCTCTAAACAACATAGATGTAAAGCTGAAGCTGGATACCGGCGGAGAAGTCAATGTTTTGCCAGTGAATGTCTGCGAACGCATAGCACGACGGTCCACAACGCAAGTGAGAAAGCCAACGGTTCGTTTTAGTGTCTACAACGGACAAGACATGATGATGATGATGATGATGATATATATTTATGTAGCGCCATAAAACTAATATAAAAAAGTGAAAGGTAAAACTAGAGGATATAAGTTAAAAAAAGAACAAATAAAGTAATAAAAACAATAAAAATAATATATAGTATATGTAACTCTAACTACTGGTATCTATATTATATCTATTTATATGTATTTATGAAGATATGAGTTTTTAAGCTTTTTTTGGAAGTTTTTAGTTCTCTGGTGTTCTTTAAGTCTTTAGGAAGCTTGTTCCAAAGTCGTGGGCCTGTGTTGCTGAACGCCCTTCCAACAAAAGTGTTTCTATTGAATCTGGAGATCAAAAGATCGTTGTTTTCATCTGCTCGCGTGCCTTTATTTGGCCTTCTGTGTAGGAGCTCATTCAAGTATACTGGTGTTAATCCATGTAGAGACTTGTGGACCATGATGATAATTTTATATTCGATCCTTGATTTAATTGGTAACCAATGTAGATCTTTCAAAACAGGCGTAATGTGACTGTGCTTCCGGGTTCGAGTGATGAACCTTGCAGCTGTGTTCTGTATGCTTTGTAAGTACTTAAGACTACAGGATGGCAAGGCATAAAGGATAGCATTGCAGTAGTCTAACGATCATTTTGTGCACCAGGACCTTGGCAGCGTCGTCACTGATGCGGCGTCGAATGTTGTACATATTTTTTAGTTTAAAGAAACAGTTCTTGGTGATGTCAATTATTTGTCCCTTTAGATTCATGTTACTGTCGATATTACATCCAAGAATGCGTGTAGAGTTAGCGTTGACAGAGTCGCTTCCAACCATTAAGGGCGATAGCTGAGAATGGTCAAGACTACGTCGTGGACCAGTCAAAACAATGATTTCCGTCTTATCATCATTCAGTTTTAACTTGCTCACTGACATCCAAGTACGAATTTCGTTAAGTACACATTCCATCTGAGATTTGACCAACGAAGAACCTCCTTTTTTGAAAGTAATGTATAATTGGCAGTCATCAGCATATAGGTGGATCTTTACATTATGCCTTCTGGCAATGCTTCCTAAGGGTAGCAAATAAATTGTAAAAAGCTTGGGGCATAGAACAGAGCCTTGTGGCACACCAAACTTCAGATCCTTTACTTCAGACGCTGTCCCATCGATAACTACTCTCAGTGCCCTGCCCTCAAGATACGATCTTATCCAGCTAAAACAGATACCAGTGATTCCCAAACAGTTTTCTAGCCGGCGCAGAAGTATGTCATGATCGATGGTATCGAACGCGGCTGACAAATCAAGTGATACAAATAGAACTGATTCATTATTGTCGAGTGTCATAAGAATGTCGTTATGAATGTGCATCAAAGGCTGTCTCCGTAGAATGATTTTTACGGTAAGCGGACTGCATGGTCTCATCTAACTGGTTGGCACTTGTATAATCAGTGATCTGGTTTGCGACTACCTTCTCGATCAACTTTGATAAGTACGGTCAGTTTGAGATCGGTCTGTAATTACTCAGATCTTCGGTATTCAGATTAGGCTTTTTGAGATTTGGAGTTAAAGTAGCCTCCTTGTAGACTTTTGGCATGCTAGAACTGATAGAACTATTGACAATGTGAGTAATAACTGGAAGAAGCGATAGCATACATTATTTCGACAGCATAGTAGGGATTGGATCAAGACTATAGTACTTGTTGTTTGTCTTGCTTATGAGAGATTCAATGTCCTTCGTTATTACAGTAGAAAAACTGTTCAATCTGCAGGAAACGGCTGGTACCACGTCTGATCCCTGATTTGTAGTTGAGACAGAAGTAATTACATCAAGGCCTGATCTGATACGATTTATCTTGTTAATAAAAAATTCAGCGAATCTTTTTCGTTAGTCACCTCGGATAGATTGTCATAAATAGGTACAAACGTTCATTGTTACGGTGTAAAAGCTTGTCGATGACAGAGAATAATGCCTTTTGGTTAACCGGCGTGACGACGCTGAAATGTGAACACCACAACGTATCGCACGACTTAGAATTCCACATCACATATATTACCAAAGAACCCATTCTAAGCGTAAGCGCATGTAAGAAGTTTGGTCTAGTTAAGTTCATCAAGTCCATCCAAGGATCTCAAGACGAAGAAGCGTTGGCTAAAGAAATTAAATCAGAGTTTAGAGATGTCTTCGTAGGACTGGGGTGTTTAGAACGCTCTCATCACATAGAGCTTGACCCTGAGGTCACTCCCGTAATCCGCCCTCCAAGAAAAGTGCCTTATGGAATACGCGATAAAATAAAGAAAACACTCGATGATATGGTTAAGCAAGGAGTTATTGTGCCTGTAGACGAGCGTCACGACAAGACACTTACAGACATTAAGTGTCTACTCACTGACATAAGCCAAGGAGTCCTCAAGTACTAAGACCCTTTGAAGCCTGTCAAATTAGACGCGTGCAAATCGGGACTAGGTGCAGTCCTCATGCAAGACAACAGGCCAGTTGCGTACGCCTCTCGCTCTGGCACTCACTGAAGCTGAGTGCAGATATGCACAGATAGAGAAGGAACTGTTAGCAGTCGTGTTTGGCTGCGAACGTTTTCATCAGTATGTGTATGGAAAGGAAATAGATGCAGAAACCGACCACAAGCCACTAGTGGCAATCATAGTCAAGCCACTGGACCAAGCACCAGCACGTTTGCAGCTCAATCACTACCTCATTGCCAGTAAGCGATGAAAAGTTGCGCAAGCTTAAGCAAGAAACCTCCAAATACCCCACCTTGAAAGCCCTTGCCAACCTCATTAGAGATGGATGGCCAGAACACAGACAAAGCGTTCCAGTGGAGCTACGAGAGTATTGGCCAGTGCGAGACTTGCTTACAGTCTACGATGGTCTGATTATGAAAGCTGAAGCCATAGTAATCCCGACAGACATGGGGAGGAAATCCTGGCAAAGATAAGGTCACCTTGGTATAGAGAGAAGCAAGCAACGAGTGACAGGGTTAGTCTATTGGCCAGGAATGTCCAGTCGAATCGAAGACCTGATTGCAAACTGCTCAACATGCAATGAACTGAGAAGGAGCACCCAGAAAGAGCCAATGATACCACACGAGATCCCGAAGTACCCATGGCAAATTGTCGCAACCGATTTATTCACCTGGAACAACACGAACTATCTAATCGTGGTAGATTACTACAGCCGCTTCTGGGGGATCTCATCTCTTACCAGCACTACAAGTACAAGTATCATTCGCAAAATGAAGTCCTACTTCTCTAGACATGGAATCCCAGAGATAGTAAAGTCTGACAACGGCCCACAATACAGCTCGTCCGAGTTTTCCAGCTTCGCAGATTCGTGGAACTTCAAACACGTGACTTCAAGTCCGAAGTACCCACAATCGAATGGTCTTGCTGAGAAAACCGTCCAAACGGCAAAGCTCATGCCAGAGAAGGCTAAGCTCTGCGGGAGAGACCCACATCTGGCACTACTTGAATAACGGAACACACCAATCGACAATTTCAAGACACCAGCCTAGCTCTCAATGGGAAGACGTCTACGCTCCATGCAGCCTTGTTCCACACATTACCTGCTACCACAAAGGCCAAGCCACAGCGAAGTCCAGCTACGCCTTCAGAAGAAGCGACTTACCCAAAAGGCACAGTACGACAAGGGTGCCAAGGAACTAGAGCCAGAAACTGCGGACGCCAACTCGCAAGTACCACAGACACAACTGGAAGAGTCTGGCCCTGAGTCTGCAGCCTACACAACGAGATCCGGACGTGTGGTCAAGCCACCCTCCCGCTACGAACATTAACATACAACACGAACATTGCAAGAAAACCAATCTTGTGGTATTTTTTATTGATATGATGTATACTGAATTACGTCTGAGTATCACATATTAAAAACAAAGAATACACAAGTAATGGTGCAGGACCTTCCAGAGATGTGTGAAATCCCTGGAAACCTTTGTTGAATTATTTCAAGATATTCCCAGTCCCCAATGTTATTTTCCTCTTAGCTCATTGATCTTTTTGGTATTATTTACCTTATTCTTATGTACTGGGAATGCATGTTTTCCATTACAGATTACCCAATGACCCTAGCAGCACCAACAGTCCATGATATTAACTCGACATCAGTAACAGTAAGATGGATCCAACCTGCGCTGAACGCATCCCAGGCTACTGTGACATCATACGTGTTACAGTACCAGAACATTACACATACACAGACAATAAGTGTGTCAGCTCCTGCAACAAGTCACGTGATAACTGGTCTTGCTATCTATACTAACTACAGTGTTAAAATAATAGCGATCAGTAGAATTGGTTCTGGACAATGGAGTGCGACCACAGACTTCAGAACAGATTCAGCTTGTAAGTCAAATATATGCTTATCAAATATTTCCATGCATGGTCTTTTATTGTTTGTGAATATAGCCAGACATGTAGAATTTTGATATCTTCACAATCGTCATGACAACCTAGAACTTTATGATGCTTATCATAATATATATATATTTCTTTTAGTACCTGTTGGATTCCCATATTCTATTGTAGCCGTGTCCAAAACATCGCAAAGTATCCATGTTACTTGGCTGGTAAGTTTGGGTTCTCTCTGTGTACAATCTTGGTTCCATCAATTACCTTGACATCAGATATTATGCCTGTTACTTGTCAGGTAAGTTTGCTAAAGATTCTATCTGTGTACAATCTCCATGCAGTTTCTGTTACATTCGTATAGGTTTGGTTATACATGCATAGAGATATTAGAAAATTGTATTGGTTCCTTTCTAATAGTGCAAATTGCGCATGCATATCGTCACTCGTGTTTATTTGAATTATTACAATATTGTAATACTTTAGCCCTGGAATTGCTAGAGTACAAACACTAAAAGTGTGCAACACTTTGCACTATTTAGTAGTAAATAGTGCTAATTAAACAATAGAAAACAATAGGATTAGCATAATTTAGCA